TCAATAACCATCAAACATTTTATGAGCGGATCATTTAGTGAACTCATTCTCCAATGAGCACTTACACTATATCCCTAGTGTCCCCACACAAGCAGCTATGAGACTAATTGTTTCCATCATATGGACGAGTATATAGTACACTGGTCTCTTCAGTTATCTCGATGTCCTTCTTAAGTAACATATGATCGAAAAAATTTATGGTATGTATTTATAAACGAATTGGTCTCATTATTATAATCTCATTATGATCTAATTTTCATTACACAAATTCATGCCCATGACAATATACTAGTCAAGCAATATAAAGTGAAAAATATAATAATAATAATAATAATAATAATAATAATAATAATAATAATAATAATAATAATAATAATCAAAGAGATTATGTAGGTGTCACATGTGCACCTGTAACTAGCAATTTTTACTCATACTGATTTATAAGTTTTTGCAATCTTATATTACCATATTCAACTATCCTTGTACTATAATTGGACTAATAAAATTTATACCCTTTTAAATTTTTTGATAACTAATAAAATATTTAAAAATAATATTTAAATCTATTTTCTTTTCATATGATTAAAGTTTCTTATCTCTTTAGGATAATTCTAAATATTTAAATGTCTTAAGTTTAGTTTCTTATTGATCCATAACTCAAAAGAAGTTTATATAACTGATTTACTAAAAATTATATTTAAGATATACATAATCATCCTTAAAGATTCTCCTCATAATGATTCAGGTATAGAAAAATAACTCACCATATTCCTAACTATATCTATTAGAGTACCATTTTATTTTTCAGTAATATTATTTTATTATGACAAATCTGATAAAATATATTGAGCATAAATACCGTGCTTTTTTAGGAATCTAGTAAAAAATCAGAATTATGATCATAAAATTTATCATCCCTATCAGATCTGATAATTTTTAATTTTTCTATCTAATTATCTCTTGATTTTATTTATATATTCCTAAATGTGTCAATAGTCTAAGATCTTAATTAGTCATATCTTAAAAGGTAATCCATAAAGGCGATAAAATATCTCTCTACTAAAACGGAGAGCATGAAGTAACTCGCAGATGTAAGCATAGATAATCTCAAAGGGTTTATCAAACTATGTTTCATTTCAATATTTGATTACAAGATTCAAGGTTCACATTAATTCTATATAGATCATTATACAGAATTCAAAAGTTAACTTTTATTGAATCATAAATATAATGAGTTTACAACCACCAAAAGGGACAATATCCTATCAATTCTAGATAATGAACTTCAATTTTTAGAATTGTAGGAACATAATATGCATCCTTAAGATCCATTAAATGAATCATTTCGAAGCGCACGCGACAAGTACTAACTATTATTGCTTTCACTTTAAAATGTTTTTTTATAACAATGAATATTTCATTCTTTTTTAGTTTTCATGATAAATTGAATATCTATTATTGGTAACATAAGTTGAAGCATTAGAATCAATCCACCAAGTATTAGAAAAGGAATTTCGTAATGTTTGATTTGAAACATACAAAAGTCAAACTTATACGTTTTTTTTCAAAACCAAATCTTATAGTTATTCTTCACAATCTTTTTTTGCCATAGAATTAGCATTTTATTATGAAGAATTTTCTTTTATGAGTTAATATAATATTTATAAACTTAGATAATTTATACTTTAATTTTTTTATTGTTATCCACTTCTTGAGTAGTAGTTAAAATATTATGAGTCTTTTCTACTTTAATCTTAATTTTTTTCAAACACATATATTAGTCGGCTTATTTAAGTTTTACTTATCCTTAATTTTATCATAGTGAATTTTAAATAAGCTAAACTGAGAAGAAATAAAATTAAGAATAAATTATATAAGAAAGGACTCAACTACATTCATGCTTAATGTTTTTGAGCTTATAACTTTGTTAGTCATATTGAGAATATAATCTTGAATTTCTTAAACACTATCATATTGAATTTCAATAAATTTTTTCATTGATATGTTAGTCAATGACTTATCAGTAAATTTAAATTAATTTTTAAATATTTTAATATACTAGTTGTATACTGTAATGAAGTCTAAATATTATCAATAATCATCGTAAAATTGAATCTTGTAAACCTTTCCCGATCATTTATTTCAATTATTTGTTCTATAGAACTTTCAATAGTTAAGTCTATGATCATTTCAACTAGTTTGATCAAGAGCAAATATACCCAATATAAATTATATATGCTTAAGTCATTTATAATAATTTAATCTAAAAAATATAAGGATATTTATTAGAATATAATAAAAGAAATACCACTATAATGAAATAATATAATATTCATGTTTTGAGTTTTTCAATAAATGTTGAACTATTGATATCATCTGTTTCACCTTTCAATGAAATATTAATATATCTAGCGTTCATATAAAAATATTTATAGAGGACTGATATCATCCTCATGGAATAATATTTCTACTTTTAGATATATAACTCTAAACTATAAAGATATCCAAAACAGCATTATCCTACCTATCACATAATTATTTAAAGTAAATTTTCTTTTAAGATTATTTAAATCTCATAATTATGTGTGTCATTATAAATATTAATTTTCTTAATATCATTTAGAATTAATTCCTTAATATAATTTTATAAATTATTAGTCTAAGCCACTTTAGTGGCTATCGATATAATAATATAAAATATAATTTAAAATATCCTATAAATGATCAAATATTTATTGTAATTCACATCTCATAAATCTATTATTTTATGTCACTTTGGTAGCTTTTAATCAAATAAAACTTAGGGATATGAGTTACAAATAATATTCATCATATTTCTTCAATCTAACTTATATTGAACTAGTTCAATAATAATAATAACCATAATAATTATTAAACATTAATCAACATAAAGAAAAATTTATATGATAACTATAATCATGATATACCATAAATCATGCCTTTATGTAAAAAATAATAATTATTTTATAATTTTAAATATATACATGTGAATAGCCAAACAAATATTCAAGAACAATAATTATATTTTTATTTATCATATGCAAAATGTTATATATGATAATGTCATATGAAAAAACTATCAAAAAAGTCATAATTTATATATTTTTAATTTTGCGTGGAACTCTTAGGCTAAACATCAATTCAATTAAGTTAGTCAAAAATTAAAATTGATCAAAATAAAAATTTATCAAATTTTAATTTTTCTTGAATTCGATCAAAACTTGATTAATCGAATCTAAATCCAATCAGGTAATAAAAATATAGTAATGATCAAGTTCGATCAAAGTATTTGATTAAAATAAATCAAATAAGTCAATTTTATAATTGAGGATATCAATAAAAAATTTAATTTCTAAAAGGTAAAACTATAATTTTAATTAGAATATATAATAATTTTTTTTAATTTCATAAGGGCATAATTGAAAAGTAAACTAAGGGACTACATTAGAATTATCTTATTTACGAGGGATAAAACTATTTTTTAATAAAAAACCTAATTGTCACTCCTTTTTTACGGTCATTGTGCGTGGCGCAACCACTACCATGCACACTCATTGCATGCGTAAAGCGTCACAACCGCCATCTACGGTCACTGCATGAGGCGTGGCCTCCTCGCCCATGCGTGGTTGTGTGTCGCCTAACGACCCCCATGACCATCGCATTATGGTTGTGCACACACATATCGCCTAGCGATTCCACTAGCCTTCGACATGCAATAGATGGTCTCGCAATGGCATTAATGCAACCGCTATAGCCACATAGGTAGTGACGCTGCTATAGCTATCGCAAGGTTGTCGCATAGTGCTTACACTAGGTACACAATCGTTGCCCACGATTGGGTTAGCGACCACCGAAACCCACCATCCTTAACAATATTATCGTCGATAGTATTGTCGATAGTAAGCTGTCAATGGTAATCTATTGATTAAGCACGAAGAATCTTACATCGCCCGCAAGTAGGCGATAAAATGGATTTGATATAAAAGCAGATCGACAACATAAACAAATCATTCATGTATCATAAATAAGATCCGAATAACATCTTTTCGCGAGCGAAAGGTGCTAACAAATAGATTTAAAATATTTGATTTCACAAATACGACTCTAATACCAATTGTGAGGATTAAAACCATCCTTATGGTTCTATTATATGAAAAATTTTAATGTTAAAATATGAAATCAAATAATAATAAATCAAATTTATGATGTGTATCTTTCGATGTCATTCAAAAAGTTTTAATCTAATTTATGGGTGCACCGTCATTGGATCCGAAAACTATAGTAATGTGAATCTATAAGGAGAATTAAAATCGTCTTTTTCTTTCTTTTTATTCTTAAGAGGACCGCTATAAACGATAAATTAGGGATAAATAAAAGATTAGAGAAATATGTAATCTTTCACTAACTGGTTCATATAACCAAGGAAAGACCATAGAAGATATATAATCTTTCAATAATATCATATATCTATATCTTATTTGCATATTTGTTTATTCATATATTATGCGTATAATTCATAGAAAATTCTATCATTTTACAGACGACGGTAAAGGATTTAGGATAAATAATTATGAAAGTTCTTCTTATCAATATTATCTCCTAAAATTTTTATTATAATTATTTTTTTTATTAATTAATAATTTAATTATATCCATAATATATTTTATCTAATTACACGTAACCCCCTGGTAGTGTGTCCCGGTTCGAGTAACTGTTTGCTTATAGACCGCGTTTGGCACACCTGAAGGTGCGCACCGCCCAGCGCCACAAGTTCAGACTTTTTCAGCGACTTAATTGCCGACAAGGTGACGTGGCGCGTCAGCGAGTGTACTCACGTCCGGTGGGGGCAAAACGGAGAATTCGTCTCCATCCGCCGAACCCATGGGGAACGTGGCGCGGTAAGTGGGCGCCAGGCTTGCTGATGAGCGCCGCACCCTTTGCCCGTTATCCAAGGCATGTGTTGAGTCGTGTCGTGAGCATCAATTTTGTGCCACCGACCGGCGTGGGAGCAGATAAGGCGCACTACGGACAGAAGCAGCACACAAGCGCGACACCTCTCCATCGATTGCATCGCTCCCCACCTCTTTTTTATGAGCTGTAACCGATCACGTCTCCCAAGTTCTTGTTGTGCCCCGACAAACTCAAAGTGGCAGGCATCTGTGCCACTGGAGATGCTTCACTAGAGGATTTTCTACTGCCGCACTCTCGCCCTCGCTCCGTTTCTAGCTCTCGTCCTCCCCCTTTCCTTGATTTCGAGGGCGGGCATGGCTTCCGCTTCTTGCCCTCCCATTTGTGTTCCTGCTACCTCCTTCTCTAGCCCGCGGCGGGGCATGCTTCTGTCGAATTCGCGGCCGTCGCGGTTGGCGGCGGTCCGGTGTTCGCTGGATAGCCAGGTCTCTGATATGAGGATCAACGGTGAGCTTTTCTTTTCTAGTTTAGTAGTTGGTACTGAACTTAATTGGCGTGATATTTGTTTTCATCCCAATTGCCAATTCGTTTATGGAGTGGTCTGTTGGTACTTGTTGCTCCTGAGAATTAGATTAATTTGCGACTGTGGCAGATTCCCTTGGACTTTCAAAATACGAGGAACTATATAGATCTACCGAAAAGAGAGTAAAAAAGGACCTCTGATATATGCTATTATATAATTTAAAGTGATACTGTCCAGGGAATGATGCTTCCTTGTTACAAAAAAAGAATCAAGCAGATGGAAAGAGTAGATTAGGTCAAATTTGCACATTTATTTTGGTGATCGTTATTGTGAACAACAATCTCCTTGGATAGTATGATTGGGTTGAGAGAGGTGTTTTTCAACGTACAAAATGTCTTCCAGTGCAGCTGTTGGTAAGCAGAAAAATTGGAAGTCTTTTGTTCTATATAAGCTCAACAACAAAAAAAAAAAAACAACAACAACAACAAAGCTCTAGGTCCTAATTATTTGGGATCGGTTATATGGATCTTTTGCCACTATTAAGATATGTAAAAAGTCATATGTTAGTTAGATTCAGAGGACTTAGATTTTTATTTATAGCTTCTATTAAAGTCCTTCTAGGTCTTCCTTTATCTTTTCTTGTGCTACTAACATTAATTATTTCACCTTTTCAGACTGTAGTAGGTCTTCTCATTACATGTCCATATTATCTTAAACAATTTTTTCTTATCTTATCCTTTATTGAAGCGATAACTAGTTGTTCATGAATAAAGGTATTTATTTTTCTATCTTTCTTAATAATTCCACACATCCATCTCAATATTCTTATCTTGGCAACACGAACTTTTTATATATATATATTTTAATTGCCCAATACTCAGATCTATAAAGCATTGTTGGTCTCACAAATATCTTATAAATTTTTTTCTTTAATCTCAAAGGTATTTGATGATCATACAAGACCCTTGATGTCCCTCGTTATTTGAACCATCTTGTTTTTACTCTTGAATAATATCTTCATCGTTCTCTCCTTCTCTCCATCTTATTGAATAATTCATTCAAGATACCTAAAGCTTCTATTTTAAGGAACTTTTTGTTCATCCAATTTAACTATATTCTCTTTAGTCCCACTTAATCTAAAACTTTTAGTTTCTAATAGTTGTCTTCATAACTCAAGTTTATAATTAATTCTACTTATGCTTTCATCAAATAAAATAATATCATTAGCAAATAACATATGCCCAGGAGATCTATCATGTAAGTGACTTGTAAGTTCACCTATTATCAATGTAAAAAGACAGATTTAATGTGGATACTTGGTGTAATCCTATGTTAATAGGAGACACACTAGACACACTCCCTATAGTTCTAACACTAGTAGCTTTGTTAACATACATATCTTTAATAACATCAATATAACTAGTGGATACACATTTTTTTTTCTAAAACCTACCATAATAAATCTCTAAGAACCCTATCATAGGCTATCTCTAAGTCAATAAAAATCATATGCAAATCTTTCTTTTTCTCTCTATACTTTTTCATTAATTATCTTAATAAATAAATAAGTTTTATGATTGATCTTTTAAGCATAAAATCAAATTAATTTTTAGAGATATTTATTTCAAGTCTTATCCTACTTTTAATAATTCTTTCCTAAAGTTTCATAGTATGACTAATAATTTGAACAATTTTGTATATCACCCTTATTCTTGTAAATTGATACTAAAAAACTCTTTCTCCGTTTATCAGGCATCCTTTCAAATCATATTATTTTATTAAACAAGCTGGTTAACCAAGCGACTCTCTTGTCCCCTAAACTTTTTCAGACCTCAATAGAGATACTATTAGACCTCACTTTTTATCTTCTTTAATACGTCTTTTACTTCATTAGTTCTAATTTTATGAATAAATATATGATTATTAAATCAATCACTATTATTTATCATTAAATCTAAGTATTGCATGGAATATTCATTAAATAATTTATAAAAATAAATTTTTTATTTTTTCTTAATCTTGTTATCATTAACAAGTACTATTTGATCTTCGTCTTTAATGCATCTAATATTACATAATCCTTACACTTTCTTTTCCTAGATTTATTAATTCGATATTTATCTTATTCACCATATTTAGTGTCTAATTTGTTATAAAAATTATCATAAGCTTTATATTTTATCATATTAATTTCTTTTTTAGCCTCTTTTTTAGATTCTTTATATCTTTTAAAATATTTCTCTTTTTTATAATTTTATTAATCTTTAAAACATAATCTTTTAGTAAAAAAATATTTTTTAAACTTTCTTGCACCATCACCAACTCTCTTTTAAGACTATACCTCGACCTCAAGTTTCACGAAAAATCTCCTTTGTTAAGTTCGTAATCTTATTAGCCATCATAGTCCAAATAATATTAATATTATCCTCATCTAAGTTCCAAGTCGTCTCCCTTTCCATCTTATTCTTAAGAGTATTTACATTATTATCATTAAAATTTCATCATCTAGTCCTAATAATTTTTTCTATTATATTTTTCTTTTTCTATTTTCTACAATAAATATCTAATACCATCAACCTATGTTGATTCGTCAAACTTTCGCCAGGTATAACTTTATAATTCTTACAAATAACTTTATCTATCTTTTTAGTAAGAAAAAATCTATTTGACTACAGTTATGATCACTCTTATAAGTAATTAAATGTTTATCTCTCTTTTTAAAGTGAGTATTTACAATTATAATATCATACGAAGTTGTAAAATCCAAAATCATGCCACAATCTTTATTTCTCTCCCCATAACCAACGCCCTATCATATGTTTTCCCTACATGACTATTCAAATTTTTTTCCAATTATAAGTTTATTGGTTATAGGCATTCCTTGAATGAAATCGTTTAAGCTTTCTTAAAATTCTCTTTTGGTTTGATCATCTAATTTGACTTGAGGGGTATAAGCACTAATGACATTCAAAACATCTTATCCTTTCACAAATTTTAGAACTATAATGTTATATTCAAATCTTTTTACATTTACGACATTGTTTTTAAGATCCTTATCAACAACAATTCTTATACCATTTATGTGTTTTAATTTTTCCAGTATACCAAATTTTAAATCTAGTACTATCAATCTCTCTACATTTTTCCTGTACCCACTTAATTTCTTGTAAGCAAATAGTATTTATTCTTCTTTTGATCATAGTGTTTACCAATTCTAATCCTTTCCCTGAAGTATTCCTATATTCCAAGTTACTAAGATGATCTTCAGTTCTTGGATTAACTTCTTTACTCCTATTGGTCCAAAACAATAAGAGAATCCTTGCCCACTTGGCACAACATCCGGGCGCCGATGTGATGAGCTGCTTCTCCTAGTCTACCGTTTTTACAATTCTAGACACCTAGGTGGTGAAGGTGCATCACGTCACTTCCGGGTGATAACCTAGCTCTATACTAAAATTGGTTAAGATCCATGTTCTTGAGATTTGATATACTTTTTATGCTGATTGTCAATGACCTAACACAACCCTCCACCTTTATCGTCCGGGCTTGGGACTAGCATTGGCGGTGTTTGTTCTATGCAAGTTACAAGTTTTTTTTTTTGATGGAAATATAACCTCTTCGGAACATGTCCAGAAGAAAAGGAAGTATTATGAGAAATATGAGAACATCTTTTGTGCAGAGAAGCTTGTTGAATATGGAATCATAATTACTGTTTTTGTTGTGAAAGGGTTATGAACTTAATATTTTTGGGAAGGTTAAACTATAAAGGTAGGATCACAAAAATTATAGCTGCTGTTTAGTATGACAAATATTGACTAATCGTGACTTCACGTTACTACTCATTCTTTTGTCTTTTTGTCTTTTTCTGGCATTGTATATACTATTGATAGATTTGTGTAAACTTTCTTGATGACAGCTCCAAAAGGATTATTTCCACCAGAACCTGAACACTACACAGGTCCTAAGCTTAAAGTGGCTATCGTTGGAGGTGGGCTTGCTGGCATGTCCACTGCAGTGGAACTTCTGGATCAGGGGCATGAGGTGCAAGGATGAAGTACCTTTTGCTTTTAGTCTCTTATGAAAATTTTCTTGTCTAAAAACATTAAATAGATTTCCTAATATCTACTATCAACTTGTTGCCAGTGATACTATTTGTATGTGTTTTATGCTTTATGCTTATTATTATGGTACGATAACTGGCATTGCTCTTTTATCTGTTTCTTACAAGGACCTTGTGCTACCTTTCTCCTATAAAAATCTGTCATGGTTCAGATTTCTATGATATGTGTGCATGGTCTTGGAACATACTTGAATCTGCAATCTGTGGCTTATGGTCCATATGCAGGTTGACATATATGAAAGCAGACCGTTCATTGGTGGCAAAGTGGGTTCTTTTGTTGATAAGCAAGGAAATCATATTGAAATGGGATTGCATGTATTCTTTGGTTGTTACAGCAATCTTTTTCGTCTTATGAAAAAGGTAAAGCCTCCTCTATTTCTGTTGCTAATTTACATATCTCAATCCTCAATTTATTGTGGTTGCTCATCTTTCATGGTCTTTTCCTACAAACAGAATTTTCTATATCAAATTTTATGCGAACCTTTTTGTTAGTAACACATTGAAAAAGAGTACCTTGTCAGTTTATACCCATTAAATCAACTATAGTCTCATAAACAAAGATAAAAACTGAAAACTTAGGCTAGTTGTAATGGTCTGTTGGAGAGCAATGGTGGGTAAGGTATTCCTTAGAGAAAAAACATCTTTCATGGAATATGCACTTGACTGTGGTCAACATATACAAAAAGAAGTGGAAGATAGATAGTGTAACTATTCTAGTAGTCTGCTAATGTAATATTTTTTTTCATCTGATAAGACTAACAAAATGGTGATAAGTTACCGAGTCTAATATACAAGTTCATGATTTCTCACGAGTGATCCTGAAATCCTCATAGCATACAACATGTATCATAGAATCAACTTTTGCAGTTTTGATGTTGGATTAACTTGAAACACTCATCTTACATTCGTGAAGCAACCCCCATCTTGTGTTGGCATACCCTGAAGGCTCGTGGAATTGTCCTGGTTTCAAGTGTTACATCCTAAATTTGTAAATACATGGGCTTTGTCTGGAGAAGTAAATGCTCAAAAAGTTTCTGATTGAGGGTAGGCAATGAATTATGCACAACCCATATCATGATAAATATCTACCTTGGACCAGATGAGATATCAGAAACCTCATTAACTCAAATTCTTGGTGGTTTGGAACTTTGGATGGGACTCCAGTTACCCTGGATTGCCAATATTCCCCATGAGTGATGTGAAGTTATAGGAGCAATGTTATCTCACCATGTTACTCCTGCTGTTCATGGTTCATGTCCCTTTGTTGGAGGTGGATTATTGGCAAGGTCAGCTAACATTTTGCTGCATATCCATTTGATTTGATTGATCGAATAATAATAACTTGAGCTTAAGCATATTGGGTTACATTGCATACAACCATTTGGCTATTAGGCTTCTTGGATCACATCACGTTTATAGCATTTCAATATCCTGCATTAGTGATAAAATGAGAGTGAAACTGTATACATGGGCATAGCACCTTCCTATTAGAAATTTGGTTTTGGGCAACAAATTTTGAGCCTCATGGTTTGGTCCATGTTGTGCAAATTATTGTACTATTAGTCTGTTTCACTCTTCTTTTGCTTGGAGTGTAGAAAAGGTTGATAGTTACTCTTTTTATGGAAGTGAAGTGGAAACACAAATAAAAACAAGTTGTGGAGATCATCTTTAATTTCTTTTGTGGAACAATGATGTTTAGAATATTGTGAAGTTAAGTTTTCTAGAAATTTGGAACCTAGACTAAGCATGGCTGAACCACCGGATCTAGTTTGAGATATGCTGATTTCCATCCCAAAATCCTCTTATCATTTAGGTATCAATTTGATTGGATTAGGATCTCAATTGGGGTCTGCTAATTATAGCCAAGCTAGGTTAATTCCAACTGAATTCGGTCATTTTCAGACTGGTTTCGCATAATTTGTGCCAGTTATAATAGCCTTCTGCTGGTTTTATGTAAGTTTTAGGTATTTCCAATTTGTTTTGATTTGTTTTATTCCAAAATCAGATTAACTTCAGATTGTCCCAATTAATTCTTGTTTTGTTCTGCTGATCTTAATCTTTTGCAGCAGATTTTTGATCTTTTAAAGAAACAACAGTATCATAATCTGGGTTGACCAATCCAATCTTGGTTCCAAACCCCTCTGTCGATTCCTAGCTCAATGCTGATCTTGTTAATCTTGCTTCTAGCAGATGCATAAAGAGGTTCCCAAGGAAAAGATGTTTCCATTGTTGTCTCTGTGAGACTAAAGACCCTTAAAAGAATTTTTTTGGAGCAAAATATGATTTAGGTCATGATGTGCCGGTTTGACAGATCTTATGCCATTGCTTTATGTATTTGATTTTTCATGTATTTTTCTATTTTTTTGGGATTAACATTATTTTTATTCTTTTCCACATACATCAAGTTTCTATTTGTTCTTTTGATGCCTCCTGTACAATCACAATGTTCTGGTTACATGGGATTCAAGAAGCTTTTTGCACTTCTATTTGAAATTTCACTCAATTGCTTTAGTCATCATGAGAGGTTATGCAATTTTTCCTGATCATGGTTGTTGGTTTTCCTTTTATGTAAAATTTATTAAATGCTTCTTTACCAGTGGTCGCAGTCATAAAGCTAAAATAGCAATAAGTTGATTAATCTAGAGCAAGGTATCAAATATCAATACTGACATACTGACACATAATGACACAGTATGTCAGTATGCTGATTGGCCTGAGTGGATGGATCCCAAAAAAATCCTGGTTTAGGGTTTTCTTTTTCAATGAGTTCTACCTGATTAGACTAAAAGATCAACAACGTGGGTGGGCTTTTTACTACAAAACAATGAGTAATGAAATGGAAACATGTCTTGGATGTGGATTGCAATCCATATTTAGAGAAAAACATGTATACGAGAGTTTTGAACAAGATATATGTTGTTTTTAAATTTGATGCCATACCTGAAATTATAGCTGCTAGTACTATCACCAAAATAATTGCCTTGAGTCCATAGAAGGTGGTTCAGGACCCTCCATATGATTCCATTCTAGTTCAGATCCGAATGACTTGTAAATGAAACTGCTCCTACGGTTTCTGATCCTGGTGAATAGGATGCCGCTGATGCAATACTGTGGTTAATAACCTGTGTGGTAGAACACACAAATGACTGTGACAAGTATTGATTCACAGGATGTAGTGTAGTAGACTTGCTACAGCAGTTATGGTATTGGTGTTGTGCACCGTAACAATGCATCTGAGTTAGATCTGCAAGGATCAAGCCTTGATCCTGGCAGATTTGTGGATCTAAGGCTTCATATTTGCTGATTTAGCCCTAAATCTGTTAAGGGAAACACCTAGAATCTAAGCTAGATTCATTGGAATAACCATTTCATAGGACAAGACATTCATTCTTGAAAAAAATAAAAAAAAGTGATCAAATTGAAAGAAAAAGTTTGAGTTTACCTATTCTTAAAGAAATTGTGGCTTGGATCCAGTGATTTAAAAAGGCGCTCGGGCGAGGCGAGGCGAGGCCCGAGTGCCTCGCTTCATTTCCAGGTGGCGCGCTTCAAAGAGGCGTTGCCTAGGCGCTCGACCGAGCCCAAGCGTCGGGCGCTTCAGGCGAGCGCCTGGGTTAAACCAGGCGACCAAACCAGCGGTTTAGGTCTGGTTCGGTCTCCGGTGCTTTAGTTGGTTCAATCGAACCAACTAAAGCACCGATATCATCGCGACTTCTCCAACCCTAACCCTGCTTGCCGTTCACGCTGCTTGCTGCCTCTGCCGCTGTCGCCGCTCGCTGCTGCTGTTGCCGCTCACCGCTCTCGCTGCTGCTGCTCGCTTTTACCGCTGCCGCTGCCACTGTCGCCACTCGTCGCTCCTGCTCCCGCAACCGTTGCTCGCTGCTGTCGTTGCCTCTGTCGCCGCTCCTGCTCCCGCTGCTACTGTTGCCGCTGCCACTATTGTCGCTCGCCGTTGCCGCTACCGCTTTTCTTAGTACCCTCGGTCTTCCCTTACACTCTTCTCTTCTCTTCGCTTCTCCTCTTTCGAAATCGAAATTATACTTTTAATAGTATACAGTATACTGTTAAAAGTATACAGTATACTGTTATACTGTATACTGTTAACAGTATACAATATAACACTATTATTTTGATTTTAATACTATTAATTTTAATATTATTAATTTTTAGCGCGTCACTTCGCTCGGGCGAGCGCCTAGCGCCTCGGGCGTTTTTGGACCGTGGCGCCTTTTAAATCACTGCTTGGATCTCGAGATTAAGGCTTCAATTTGTTGAAATTGAGCTTCTTTTTGAGAATTCATATTTGAGTGAGTTTGGGAGAGGATTTGCGTGGTGTTGAAAGTGGCAGCGAAGAGAAGTCAACGGGGAGAGGAACGAGTGGAAAAGAGGAATTAAAACGTCCAAGAGACCCATTCCGGTTACTGGGTGGTGAATTCACCGCCCTATATACCTCATCCAACGGTAAAAAACTAGGCGATAAAATTGGTTTTTGATCCAAAAATTGGTCAGTAAACCTTTGTCCGAGATGGACTGGGTGGTGGGGGTTGTCAGCTCATTGGTTTTGAGTCTGACAGATAAATATGGGTTGGTACATACAGGTTCATCTGCACAGATCTAGAGTTTGACTTAAGTGAAAGCATCTAACAGATTTATGAAAGCATGACCAAATTTTGAGCTTTTGAAATACGTCTTATAAAATAGATTATGCAGGAATTACAAGGCAAGTAATACTTAAATCCTTACTAAAATGGCCATCAGATATAATCTACATCATTATCTGTTTCCTAGGTTTAATTTCTCTGAGCATTATAATGTATATGAATGTATGTTAGTAGTGATTGCTGCAGTTACGTTTTCTTGCTATCTGATGTCTTGTGTCCATTTGAGTAACCATCTGAGTACTTGTTCTTGTAAGTGTTCTTTAACAGGTAGGTGCTAATGAAAATTTGTTGGTTAAGGATCACACGCACACCTTCGTGAACAGAGGGGGTGGAATTGGTGGTATGTAAATTATTCATACATTATTAAATGATTTAGTTAATATTATCTTTTCTTCAGTTCTAAATATGTCAACCATGTGAAGCCAAGGATTTGAATCAGGGATATTTTAATACACTTAGATACCTAGAAATGTTCCTTGCACATTTCAGGTTATCTCACATATTTCTTATAAACTTAAATGTTTGTTGCAGAACTTGATTTTCGGTTTCAACTTGGGGCACCGATACATGGCATACGGGCATTTCTAGCAACCACACAACTCAAGGTGTGAACTCGATTGTAAATAAGATTCCTTCAAGCACATAGTTGAAATTTAGCCTATTTGTTCATCAAGCACCGAGTAAATTTAAATAATCTATTGGAGCAAATTGAATATTCTTTCGATGATTAAATTCACCTGTTTGTTGATCAAGCGCTGAGTAAATCTGAATAATCTATCGGAGCAACTGGATGTTATTTAGATGATTAGAACTTTTTGGATAAGGTTGATGTGCACTTTTTGTTTCTTGCTGTTTTCTGCACTTTTGCAAGAACAAGTCATGAAAAAGATGTTTCTAATGTTGCAAAAGCATGGGAAGGTCTTCTTAATATAAATAAACAAAATATTCAGAAAGTTAATTCCATGTGTCTAATAACTTATGATGTCAATTTTTTTATATTTCTTTATCATTTTTTGTACACTATTTTTATCTCATTAATGTAACATGTCTGTTTCATCTTTGTAAATTTAGCAGCATGAAAACATGCTGGTAATGTGCTGGCATCAATACATCAAATAACTTTAATTTGCATCAGTTTTGTCCCAAGTGAAAAGGATTTTCCAAACACTCCTGATACGACAGTAGACTGTGTCATAATATGACACTTGAATCCATGAAGAAACATTTTAATTTTCCATACTTCATTTTCTTAATCAAATATATTTTTGGTCATCATCTGTTGATTTTTCCTAGAAATGAATATTATTTAATCTTGAATGTCACAAACATTATGTATTGGCAATATGCATGTACTTTAGACTTTAATGTATATTACTATTAATATCTTTTAAATTTTTATACATGAGTTTCATAGTTGATTCTTGTACTTTTCAAAAGTTACAGTTGTAATGATCATAATTTATCTAACTTGTACAAAATATGGCTTGATATATGGAACTATTTGCAAGATATAGAAGTTAACTGCTATGTCTATGCTGCTTCAGTTTGTCCTGTCTTACTTTTCCAGTTCAGTTTGTCCTTGTCATGTCATGTTCATGTTACCTATCTTTGTCCTGCTTTATTGCTGATATTTTCAAGTAAAATGAGCCCAGCCCAAACGTGATGAACGAACAAGCTCCATCTACTATGTTGACAACTCAAATATACAAGTTTTTAGTTCTTTCAACTTTCAAGTTTCAATTGCCTTGTTTTCTGCAGTATCATTTTCTTAATTTAAAAATGATGATCTGGACAATTGCACACTCATGCTACTATTAAGTAATAACAACTGTCCTTTATTTGCAAAATTGCATATTCTATTAGCCTATTAGGTAGATTGTTTGGCTTGGATTATTTTGTGCAATTGATGTTAAATGCATATAAGTGCTGCTTAGATTGCTGTCTTTTTCTTTGTTTAATCTTTCTCCCACTTCTATGTGTGACTAATCACCAATTTTCTCCTATGATTGGAAATACGTCAGCATTAGTTATTGTTGATATGTTTTGGCTTTACCTTTTAACAGCCTTATGATAAAGCAAGGAATGCTGTTGCTCTTGCTCTAAGCCCTGTTGTTCGGGCTCTTATTGATCCAGATGGTGCATTACAAGAGATAAGGGATTTAGATAATGTAAGTACATGTTTATGGTTCCCTATAGCAGTGACACTAATTCTATATTGCAATGATCTTTGTAAGTTAAGACCAAACATCTTGAATTGATGAAGACCCATCTTTATCGTATTTGTATCATTTCACTAGATGATCTCTATATAATGCTGTTGCTGTCTTTGCTTTGTTGATTTTCCATATAGTTTCGGTAGTGGAATTATCTCGATTATGTTACTCTCTTGTTTAATTAAATATGGAAATTAATGCAACTTCTGTTCATTTGTGTTTTTCCAGATTAGTTTCTCCGATTGGTTCTTGTCAAAAGGTGGTACACGTATGAGCATTCAGAGAATGTGGGATCCTGTTGCTTATGCCCTTGGATTTATTGACTGTGATAATATAAGTGCTCGATGCATGCTCACCATTTTTGCACTTTTTGCCACTAAGACAGAAGCTTCCCTTTTGCGTATGTTGAAGGGCTCTCCTGATGTATATTTAAATGGGCCTATCAGAAAGTATATTATAGACAAAGGTGGCAGGTATGAACATGAATAAATGAACTTGTATAATTAAAATTTTCATTTTCTAATTTCTTTCAAGGATTATTGATTATGTTGCTTGTCTCTTCAAAATATCTTCTCTAGGTTTCACCTGAGGTGGGGCTGCAGAGAGATACTTTATGAGAAGTCACCTGACGGCAACACATATGTTACAGGCATCACTATTTCTAAGGTCATTTCATAGTCCTCCAGTCAACATGTATGATTAGTCCCATTTTCTACTAAATATTATCAGACTCCAGAATTATTATTTCTTAGAAATCCTGTTACACTTGAATAATTTTACATATATTGCAGACACTTGATTTTGACCTAAAATTCTACTTTAAAATTCGTGACAGACTTTGGAGAGGTCATTAATATTGATGCCTTCATAGTAGTACTGTTAGTGTGCCCCCTTCGTGACATACTTTAAAATTAGTATGACTTGCTTGAAGCATGGATTATCTAGATGGGGGCATGCTAACAGTAGCGTGCTAGTCAGCTGCTATTATATGTGGGTTTGCCAAGCAGGGTGGCACACTTGCATGTTGATATACAGGTAGACTTGTGGAGGGCATACACATAACAGACCTAGGACATGACTACTATTTGCCAAGTTTGCAGTGTGGGCACCGACTCTTGTAAACAAAGTAGAAACAAAAGGAAAAAAAAGAATAGAGAAGTGGAAGAGAGGAAGAAAAGGAGATCTAAGATGTAACTGAGGTACAATCTCACTTGCAAATAAACAAGATAATTGGGAGAAAGGAAAAAGGGAAAGAAAAGAATAAAATGATGGAATGGAGTGTGCATTTGACCTCCTCAGAAAATCCTCATTGAGCCCCATACTCTTTCGATGGCCTTGCTTGTATCCTTGTATTGGAGGGAAGTTGGAAAATTTGCCACTTTTATTAGCTGCATTTTGGTTCGAGCAGTGGAATGTGGTTGTATATGGTTAAGATTGAGGGAGGTGAATTGGTTTATTAGGTGTTTGCAGGTGTATAATTTTTTGTTCAGAGATTAACAAACATGAAGGCATGTTATATTAAATTTGCTGCATTGTGGACTGTATCAATATATGATTGGGCACATGTTATGCCTCCTCTTCAATGGGCACAAGCTCGGTTGGTGGTGGGGTGAACCAAAAAAGAGAGTGAAGATGGGAAGAGATAGTGGCATAGGAAAAAAAGAACTGGAGGTTGTGGTAGTGGCAGAGGGTGGAGTAGGAGACGAAGAGAAGAGGAGGAGATGGTGGCGGTGGAGGAGGAAGAGGTGGAGGAGAAGAAGAAGAAGATAAGAGGAGGAGATGGTAGAGGAGGAGGAGAATAAGAAGAGGAGGCGACATAGAAAACGGAGGAAGAGAAGAAGAAAATAAAAAAAGATAATTGTCAACAACTGTCAATATTTGGCAATAGGCTTATTGCCTGGTGTAGCTCGGCACTAGTCAATTTACCTAGCCGGACTGATTTTTTCTAATCCTTAGCCCTTAGGTAAAAAGCATATGGTGAACTTACCAGGCAAAGCTCTATTTCGGATTTGGAGAAATTGTTCGGTCCTCATATTGATTGACCATCGAACTCGAAACCTAGGTATGACTCGTATGGTATTTTGAAACATATTGTATACAAAGTAATTTCTCCATCAGTTATACTCTTTAACCATGTGATTTGAATTCTCTGTAGAATTATGGAACTTTTTTGGGGGGACAATATTTTCTGAGGCAGACATATTCTATTGTTACTATCTATAAATCAAGAAATCTCATTTCACATACCCGTATCAGCTATTGGGTGGTGTCGGTGTCTTAAAGAAGAAGGGGAAGAGGACAGGATGGTAGAGGAAGAGGATGAGAAAGGAGGAAGAAGGAAGAGGAAGGTAGAAGAGGAGGCTGTGGAGGAAGAGGAGAAAGAAGAAGAAAAAAGAGGAAGTGATAGAGGAGGAAGCATATTGGGGAGGTAGGCAACAGTGAATGACCACGGTCGGAAGGTAGTGGCTTGGGAGCAATTCCGTGCTCCCTGCATACGAAGAGCGCTCAAGTTTGCAATCCCTAATTGAAGATTTTTTCTTCTTTTTTTAATTTTTCTAATGGGTCATATCAGACTACTTGAAATGGGGGTGGTTTGTGTATCGGTGCACGCTTGGAGTGGTTTGCACCGCCTCTTTCATACTGTTGGAGTTGGTAAGTATTTTGGGATTCTTGGAGCCGGTATCCTAGTGGGATAAGGAATCCTAGTACAGGAAGGATTTCTCATGAAGGAAGGAAACATGGTAACTAGAGTTTGGATTTATAAATATCCCATGTATCTCTAGATTTTGTTTTAGGGGAGAGCAAGATGTGAGGAATACTTGAGTGCTCCTAGTTATCCTCTAGGGCCTCAAGAAAGGGTTATCTTCTGGGCCCTCTAGAGAGGGTTATCCTCTAAGGCTTCTAAAGAGAGTTATTCTTTAGGGCTTATAGAGATGGTTATCCTCTAGGGCTTCTAGGAAGGATGAGAGAAAATCGTAAATTCTTCGGGGTCTATGTGAGAGGGTATACAAGGGGATTTAAACTTGTGGGTCTTGTAATTGTTCTCACATGATAAAGAATTTAGTTTTCTCCGTGTTTAGGCAAGGAGTTGTCGAACCATGTTAATCTTGCGTCGGTTTCTGATATGTTCTTTTGATTGTTAATCTTTGGTGGATTTCTCTTTTGGTTTTCTAGTTTTTTGGTTCTCTCCCTCCCCAACACATACTGGTCAGGGGGAAATGGAGATAATCCTTTCTTGATAAAGTTCTTAAATCTTCTACATTTCCTATTCAAATTGAGAATCAAAATCAGTTTTGTGTTTTACTTTTAATTGATTTTTTTTGTTGTACTTGCAATTACCAACTTTTCTGTTGTATTTTGAATGTGGCAGGCTACAGACCGGAAAACTGTGCAGGCTGATGCTTATGTTGCAGGTTTGTCATGATTTGGCTTTCATTTATTATAGCTATTTGTTTGTCATCAAATAATTGAAAGCATACAATACATTCATCTTTTTTCAGCATGTGATGTTCCTGGAATTAAAAGATTGCTTCCATCTCAGTGGAGGGAGTGGGATGTTTTTAACAACATATACCAATTAGTTGGAGTTCCAGTTGTCACCGTTCAGCTTCGGTACAATGGCTGGGTTACAGAGCTACAAGATTTAGAGATATCAAGGTAATCCTCTTATAAGTTCTTTCTCCGACTATTCCTTATGATATGAGATTTCTTGTCTATTAGGAATATTGATGTAGACTACATATAACAGATACAAGTTCCATTAGATTTGGCCTAAAAGTTTCAGGATATGCCTAACCAAAGATTAGGGCTCCCTTTCTTCTTTTGAAAAGCTTTTCTAATTATGGCTGCAGGCAACTGACCCAAGCTGTTGGACTGGACAACCTTCTTTATACCCCAGATGCAGATTTTTCTTGCTTTGCGGACCTTGCACTTACATCACCAGAAGATTATTACATCGAAGGACAAGGCTCTCTTATCCAGTAAGGATAGCCAGTCCATTAGATCTTCACTTCTGAAATTTATACATAGCTAGAGAATATCTTCTGAAACCAACTTGATCTTCTAATAAACCTTAGTCGGCATTTTTGTTTTTCAAATAACTTTGTTGTAGCTTGCTCAGAATTCTTGAGGTATCTGTTTTTAGTCTGATCACTTATTAATGAAGTTTGATATTTTGAGATCCAATTACTGTAAGGTAATTGTTGTATGTCATCAGAGTGCTGGTTGATTATCCCCAAATGTCATAGTTGAGTGCCTTGTTAGGCAACTTATCTCGAGTTTTTCAAGACATTCATAGTTAGTAGTAATAATGATCTTCTATTAAAATGTTTAAACATTGTTCAGCACATTTCTTGATATTGTATCATCTAAATAAAATCGACATTTCAATGAGAAGCAGGTAAAATAAAGAAGGTATAATGTCAACAAAGTCTCATGTCTAATGCTACTGATGAATTGATAAGATCTCCTAATTACACACAAACGTTTTAGTAAGAGACGTATAAAGAAAACAGGTTGAAGGCATCATCTTCTTCTAAGTGGGAATAGCAGGTAATAGAGGAACCTAAATACAATAGTGGGAATAGCAGGTAATAGAGGAACCTAAATACAATAGTGGGAATAGCAGGTAATAGGTTAAGTTAGAAATTTTTGGAAGACTAAGTGGGGTTTTGAGAATATAAGTGATTAAATGTGTAATAATTAAGAGTGGATAGTGCTTTTGGGATCACACTGATCAAATGCTATCAAATTGCCATAGTTGGTGTTAGGGTGTTCGGAAGGTAATCGGACCACATCCAAAGAGGTCAGATGGTATTGGGAAGGGCATTTGATGTCATCAAAGGAGTATTTGACAAAGTGGGTGTTACAAAGTATTTCTCATTATATAACCAAATATAAGCACAAGGAATGTGCAGAGTTAAAGTTTTAGATGAACAGATAGAAGTCCTATGACAACAATATTAGAGTTCCTTTGCAGTTGAGATTTGAGGCTACATATAGCAACCGATAAATCCATAAATGAGTTGCAAGCTCCACATTATTAAGAGAAAGTTCACTTGCATATTTGTATTTGATTCACATCAAAGGGACATTAATTATAATCAAACAGACATGTTCTCATCCTTTGCTTTGCTTAGTATCACTTGATGACATCTATTGATATGTGTGTGTGTGTGTGTATATATATATATATATATATATATATGTATATGTATATGTATATGTATATGTATATGTATATGTATTTGTATGTATGTGTGTGTATATATATATATATATGCATATGTATGTATGTGTGTGTATATGTATATATATATGTATGTATGTATGTGTGTGTGTGTGTGTGTGTGTGTGTGTGTGTGTGTATAATATATACAAAACTCATTGCATTTGCCAATATATCTAATTGAGCCTCAACAACTGTTATCAGCATTATAAATCTCAAATGTGCAAAAATAGAGAAAACACTTGACATATTCTAGTCAATTACATACAGGTTTCATACCCTTGTTTTACGTAGTTCAGGTTTTTTATCTTTTTCCAACATATGTTTGCTTCTGCAGTTTGAAGTAATTAATACTATGTGATTTACTGTTGCTTATGTATGCTGTTGCAATCAAAGTCTGATATGCTTGTGTTTGATGTCTGAGGCTTTTCTTCCCCAATGTTGAATATAATCCTTTGTATGGCTGGTCCATCCATCAAGAAGAATTGAGAATCAAATATCTCAAGCTCTTGAAATGTTTTTTGTTATTTGTAAATCAAGTTGGCAGTTCGATGCCTAAAATGTTTTTTATTTTAGTTGTTCTGAGATACATGCTATAGGTCAATCACATCTTAATCCCCACTATGCAGCATAATGCCCTTCTCATTTACATGGATTGGATTGTGATGCAGGCAAAATCATCTGTTTTTTTTTTTGTGTGGTGGTGCTAATTTTTCCTTTATTTTCTCTTTTAGCATTTTAAAAGTGAAGTTCATGCAAATGTGATCTTGATAAGGCTAACGACAAACTTTACCGTTTGGTTGCAAATGATAATATTAAGAGGAGGATTCTGTATGATTAAAATTCTCTTTTCTAAGTTCTAATATTCCTCCTTTTTCTCAAGGGTTGTACTCACACCTGGTGACCCATACATGCCATTGCCTAATGATGCAATCATAGAAAGAGTCCAGAAGCAGGTTGGCAGCTAACTTCAAATTTATAAAGTAATTAGGCTTAGATTAACTTCTTTAATCTTTATCAATCTATTGCAAGGTGCAGCAACACTGATTTTATTACTGTATCTCAGGCTTAAAAGAGTGATTTGATATATTGTTTTGCTCAGCTTAATTAGACTGAGATACTTATAATGTTTCCCTTTAGGATAACCTTTTTTTGTCGGTGGATTCCCATACAGACATGAATATATTGGCCTTGCTAGATTTTAGTATATCTAGATGATGCGAGGCCTCTTTTTTGTTCTTTTGTCTTGTTGTTCCTGGTCAATTTGTGGCTAAATTTTTCCAATTAGTGAACTGCGTTAGTAGTTCTACATGCATATCTTTCGCCTTTTTCAACTTTTGAGTGTTTGATTAGAATTCTTTGTTCACTTTGCTATATCTCAAGTGAAGCTACACATATTTTTAGTTTTTTGCACAACTATTTTCTAATAGTCTTAGATGATTGATGATTTTTTGTCAGGTCTTGAATTTGTTCCCCTCCTCTCAAGGTTTAAAAGTTCTTTGGTCTTCCGTCGTTAAAATTGGGCAATCCTTGTATCGAGAGGCACCTGGAAATGACCCATTCAGGCCTGATCAAAGGACACCGGTGAAAAATTTTTTCCTTGCTGGATCCTACACTAAGCAGGTAAATGTTCCAGTAGTTTTGATTATTAGATGATTCTTTTACTGTTATTTTTATTTTACCCATTTAGTAAGAGATATTTGCTGCTTAATGTTGTAATGTCCTGTTGATTGTGTAGTTTTTATGCTGTTTCAAATGTCTCTGTCCTTTGAAAAATTGAAATTTATTTTCTGTTGCTTGTCATGCCAAGGAGGTTGAGGTACTGATTGAAACAGGAGTCAGAATTAATTTTGATACACTGTTTTTTTGTCAAAAATGAAGTAGAGATTGGGTCAAAATTAGCTTCTACAGACCAAACCACATGGCTTTGTTACAAATTATTGTTGGTTGAGTCATGTCTGTTGTGAGATTCCAGTTAGTATAATTCAAAAGATGAAATTCATGTTATAAGAGTATGATGCTTTACTTTTATGCCCTTTTCATACGATTATATTGTGTATGAATTTTGCAATGGCTCTTCTCGTGGAGGATGAATGTACATTGCTGTAATGACAGACCTAATTTGATCATTACTGTTGGAACCTAGTAGCAGAAAATTGTACAACGTTGAGAAAAATCTATCACTTCTGATTTCTGAAACAACTAAATCCATCGAGTGATTCTTTCTCTGATACTGAATGCACACCACACTATAAATCTCTTAGTAAGTTTTAATAAGTTCCGACACTCTTGGCTGTTTAACACTGAATCTCACAGTTTCCTGTCTGAGAATTAGCTTGTTAAGATCATTTGGGATCGTCAGCTTGGTGCTTTTGTAGCATTAAGTTGTTCCAATTGATGTCGGTGTTTTTCAATAGAACCAAAGTCGGTCGCAAGAAAATGCTTTCACTTTAGCTTGCAGGTTAATAATCAAATTATATTGCTATATCTTCTGTTAAACTACATCAAAACTTATTGGACCGTATCATTAATTTCTGAGCAAGTTGGTTTAGAGGATGCTTTCCAAATATGCTAGAAAAATCATCCAATATATTTTACTATCATTACAAACGGCTGCCTACGCGAGTTTTCTGGATGAATACTTTCATACAAGGATGCATCCTACATTGACAAAACATGGGTCTGCTGCTATTTCTACAGGATTACATTGATAGTATGGAAGGGGCAACTCTTTCTGGTAGACAAGCAGCGGCGTACATCTGTAGTGCCGGGGAAGAATTAGCAGAGCTAAGAAAGAAGCTTGCTTTGATCGACTCAGAAAGGATCAAGAAAGACTCCACCACAGCCGAAGAATTAAGCCTGGTTTGATGTCAGATAAGTTGTGGTGCACCATCATTCAGTTCCATTGTTGTGGGTTAGATTCTACCTCTCTCTGGCAAGCTTCATGTTTGATCTTTGTATATGATATGTAGCAACCAAATTACACTTGCATACCGGCATACGGGATAAATTCAGGCAAATAGCAATTGCATTTAGAAATTACACTTTGGTATTTCGAATGATCCATCCTAAATGTAGTATTGCTTTTCAGGTCGAGTTATGACCTCTTGGCCTTCTTATGTTTGTTTGCTCTGATATATGCAACTGGAGGTAGCAAAAAGGCCAAATGAGTACATGATGAATTTTATTACAGTGGAATTGGTGGTAGCTAAAAGCAAAAAGGCCAAATGAGTAGTACATGATGGATTTTATTACGGTGGAATTGGTGGGTAGCTAAATTGGTAATAAAGTATGCGTTATATAGTTAAATGTGGATCAAAAGTTTTTGTTAATTTGGCGTTATGAATATGTGACAACAGTTGAATGATCGAACAATCCCTTCTACAATGCATTCATGCATTGTGAAAAAGATGAGAGGGCAGGTTCTCTCTGTTGTTAATGAACGCGAGGAATCCTAAATGATCAGATCTTCTTTCTGGTTTACTTCATTCTCTTATATCATAATCGCTATCATTCTCGCCTTTTGGTGAAGTTGACAAGCCTATTGATTTCGGTTGGCTGCCCATCCCATACTGTTTAACAAGCAAAGGCAGAACAACACTCCTAATTTACTATCTTGCAAACTTTAATGGGAAATAAAGGTACGTCTTTTGGCATGCGAACCGTCACCACAAGGTTCTTGATCTGTCCAAAATCCCATGGCATGCATGACCACCACATCATGTCTGGTCCAAATGATTGGAGTTCTCGTGGAAGGAGGCCATGGCATATGCGGAGCTGACAAAGCCAAAGATATCTTATCAACCAAACCACCTTCCTATGAGGGGTATCTCCTGCGTGCACACTCAAAGAGAATATATGATTCTTTAACAAAAACAAACAAATCCAGGAAAAACTTCTATACTGCAGCGGATCTAATCAAGAAATCACAATACTTAAAACTGATTCCTCCTCCAACATGATAAAGAGGACATGACCCTTCAATTGTGGTGAAGGACGGCGCCCTTACAAGATTGAAATCCAAAGCATCATTCATTTACCCCCTTTTTTTCCCCCTTACAAGGTCATATATTCTACAATCCCAAGCTTATATTTACAAGTAGCACGATGATTATCCATCCGGAGAACATATCGGAAGAATATATAAAGAGCATAATGACCAACGGAGACAGATGGAGTCAGGTCAACCCAATGGGAGCCGCCTCATTTTAGGTCAACCTGAAGCTTAATGGACATGTAAAGCAAGGCAAGCACTGCCCCTTGGGGAACGGGAGCCAATCTTGCAAGGTTTGCCCCTATCCACATTGCTACCACTACCACTGCAACAAGGTTGCTGTTGTTCTTGCCGCAGAGCCAACTAGTGAAGTGGATTAATATTGATAGCAGAATACCCCCACGACCTCCCATGAACCAAGCAATCACATAGCCCATCTTATATCCAGCATCCAACTGCTTGTCCAGCAATGCAATCAAACTACAAATCGTAAGTGATGCTCGGTATCCGATTATCTTCATCAAGAAAAGGGTGAAGAAGGTGAAGTTTAGCACTTCGCCGAAGGGACCTCTCTCATATTGGGAAGGTTCTTGATATGGCTCCCGATGATCATACCATGAATATGCCTTGTTCTGCCTCTCGTAACGCATACGCTGTTTCAATTCTGCCCATCTGTACATCCTTCTGCTTTCATCATGTCCAGAATTCTGGGTCGGGTTTCTCCTCCATGATCTCCCTGTAGCCCTAGGAAAACTCAGTGTCATGTCATATCGGGCCCTTGAGACTTCATCCGACAGCACCTAACATAAGAACAAGAATTTAAGATGTTTAATAACGTTTAGGGAAAAATATTCACTTGCAATAAAATTTTATAAAATCTAGAAAGCAAATTTGTAGCTGACATGCTATACCCTTCATCTAGGTCGCCACACGATAATCAACGGAATCCATAAAAAGCCAAAATCTATAAGAATGTAATGGAAGTCTCAAGACTAAGAACATGTTGACCATCCAAATTATGAAGGAATTGATTGACAAATTTAATTTTAACAACGATGGAAATAAGTACAGAATATTTAAATTGTGACAATAATCATCATCAGAAAATTTAATCCTGTCAGTGGCCAATCCAAATCAAATTTAATAAATCTACAAAATAGTATTCATCAAGTTTCAAGAAAAAAAATCCTCAAGGATAGGTATCAGTTCAACGGTTCCGATCAATCTACATCAACTAATTCAACACAAACTAATTATCAAAACTGAAATTAGAACTGGAAAGGAGTCTCAAATCAAAACAGCCCAATCCAAATTCGTTTAGGTTGTCACATCATCAAAACTTGATGAAGTCACTGCAAAAGCACTTTATAAGCCGAAATTTTCATTGCTAGAAGTATCGCACGGTCCTAGATCAAACTGAATCACAGTACACACTAGACTAGTTTTGGAAGAAGAAATTGCCTTAGAACCTAACTGCATGATTAGTGGAGTAGCCATGAACATATATGTGCCAGCTGCCAGGAATCCCTAATTATGTGAACGAAATTTGTACGTGGAAGAAGAAGCCTTTGGACTAACTAGTATCAATCAAATTACAATACTTGGAATGAATTTTCCAGGAACGTGTTGGGGAAGATAGTGTTCATCAAGGAAAAACATTATATTAAATTATTAATACCAAAAAAATAAATAGTTATTAGTGACAGAAAAGATCAAAGCAAAAATTTCTGTTCACTTGAGGAAAAACTATTAAGCTACAATACTAGCTGATTTTGATAGTCCAGCAAGGTCATCGTGCTTATAATTCAAGGTGATGTTCAGAACTTAGATATTTTGTTAAGGCATCCCATGCTACTAAAGGACGTTAAACAAGAGGATAAGATGCATATAAACCCAGCATATTCATGCAATGGATATTTAACAACACCAGAAGAAGTACCAAGAATCTTGTGAGTTATAATGTGTCAAAATGAGAGAAAAAAAAAAATCCAGAACAGGTAGCAACAATTAGCACAAACGACTACAGCCAAAAAATATGAACTTTGAAATTATATAAGACTGGAGAAACAAAGTTAAGCTGTTGGTCAGGAATCACACCACCCAACCCAACACTATGCATGCACCGTAGCAGATAGATGTTGAAGTGCAGATGATCACCTCATATGCATTGTGGATGCTCTTAAACACCTCATCAGCTTGCAAAGCCTTGCTAACATCAGGATGATACTGCAAAAACAAAAAAAGATCAAAATGTCAATGATAGGCTCATTTTCCAGTGACAATAGAACCATAGCAAGTTTCAAAAAGTGCTAACTGAAGTTAAAAAGAATCACAAGCCACAAAGGTCCTACAAATAATCACAATGTCTAATTTTCTACATGATGCATTTGATGTGATTTGAGAATCCTCAGAAATTGGGGATTTTACTGTGGACAAGAGAGTTGAGAGTGAGACAAAATTGAGGTTTGAGAGAACCTGCATGTACAAGTTATGGTTGTCTCTGCCTTATCTGGAATAAAGTGTTTACTCATTAACCAAAATAAGTGAATCTTCAGCAAATAAAAACTGTTTTGAATTATTTTTGGTGTTATGATAAATTTGACCACTGAATATTGCCACCCTCGATTAGTCCTGTCCATGCATACACTGCTGGTACCAACCTACTTTCGAAGCCAACTAGTTGAATAATTGTTAAACCTTAAACAGTTGAATTCTAGTGTCACAAAGTATTTGGCCTGATTTAAGGAACTTCTACTTAGGTGTGAAATAGAAGAGGACCAAATCATCACTGTCCAAAGATGTTAATGGGTTGAGGTTTGACATCCAACGGGAAGTCTCCCTTAGTTTTTCCGACACCATGGAGGAAGCAACTCAACAAGTCCTTAAGATTGAGAAGTATCCCCAACTCTATCCAACTTGTCAAGCATCTTCTTAGTCTCTCGACAATAGAACTATTTCTCAATCCACCCTAAGTAGTGGCTCTATCAAGCTAAAAATCCCCACTACTAGCAACAGTCCTGGCCCAACCATGAATCGTTCAACTCGTTTAATCACTGATTCTCAAACTAGTTCATCTTCAATCCATTGTAACTATTGTCATAATAAGGGTCACATTACCTCTCGTTGTCCTCAATGTACCCTTACCTTAAAACAAGAACCAAATGATCAAATCGAGGAAGTAGACCAAGCAGTTGAACCTGAAGCCTACTCAGGTGATGAAAATGAACTAGAAATTGAAGATGCCCAAGTAAATGTTGTCCGCATTATTCTCTCTATTGCTAGTGATTCCAATAAATGGAATAAGACAAATATCTTCCAGACTTTTATCCAATGCAGGAAGAGAACTTGCAAATTGGTTATAGATGAGGGTAGCATAATGAACGTAGTTTCAAAGGTAGAGTCACATCCTACTCCATTTAAAGTAGCCTAGGTTAATAAAACTACTCTACTCGTGACCGAGAGATGCCTAGTACCAATCAAAATGGGTGATTACCAGGATGAGATTTACTATGACTTCCTACCAATAGACGTTGCCCACATTCTTTTAGGTTGATCTTGGTTGTTCGACCTTGATATTATCAATTATGAAAGAGAAAACACCTATGCCTTTTAATACAAAGACAAAAGCATCATCTCGCAACCTATAAAATCATTAGAAAAGGATAAATCAAGAACTCCCAAATCTCTTCAACAAGCCTCAACCACCAAGGGACTCCACTTACTGGATCTTAAATCTTTTGAAATAGAGAGCCTAGATAACAAATTTTGTGTGGCCATCATTACTAAAGAAATTTCTAACCCTTGCACTATTCTTGACCTAACTCCTGAGATTAAATCCTTATTAGATGAATTTTCTAATGTCATACCCTCGAAATTATCTAGTGAGCTACCACCTTTACGAGAAATCCAATATGCTATTGACCTTGTCCTAGGATTGCAACTCCCTAATATCTTATATTATATATTAAATCCTAAGGAGAGTCGAGTTAAATAAGCAAGTTAAAGAACTTTCGGCTAAAGGCTTTGTCCGACACAGCCTTAATCCTTACATCGTCTCTACCTTGTTAACCCCTAAGAAAGTGAATCTTGGAGGATGTGTGTCGATAGCCAAGTGATCAACAAAAT